TACTTATGGTCACGGAATTGACATTTTTGTCCTCGCAATATCTCTTAATTTGTTTCACCTTGTATAGGTTATGAAAGGTTTTGAACCAAAAGAACGATGCATGCTACTTAAATTTGTGACCAGTTGTTCACGAGCTCCATTGATAATAATAATAATAATGGTAGTAGAAGTAGTAGTAGTAGCTTCAACGAGTTCAAGAGGATTGCAAATGAATACAACAAGAGCTCCTAGAATGTGCTCTCGCTTAATTTGATAGTTCACTTGAGCTGAAGAAAATCAACCTGATTTTATTCAGTGCATTAAGAGTTTGAAGACACTGTCGTCCCTTACCACTTCATAGTCATATCCTATGCTGTTGGCTTGGTGGTGAAACTCATCCATCTCACTCTTTGAGACCTGGATTCCAACCAACACGTTTGCACCAGTTTCACCCTGTTGAATGGGAATTATAAAGGATGAAATCAAAATAAGATAGGGTAAAAGTTTAATCATAAGCCACTATATTTTATAATACAAAATTAGTCACAATGAAGGTTTGAGATGCCAACCTGACCATGGTAACGGAACAAACTAATATTCCAGCAAGGACTAAACACATCCAAGAACTTCATCAAGGTACCAGGCCTATCTGGGAGGACAAATTGACAAAGGATCTCATTTTCAAGGCTTAATTTGCCTACTATCTGAAAGATGATGACAAGTTAGTGTCCAAGAACAGAATGGTATAATATTGTTCCCAACAAGTTTAACACTGCATTTAGGACCAATATAATTGAAATGGGGCACTATTCTAACTTTTGACAAGGTACTGAATCAGACAAACTGATGCTGTAGTAATTGTCCAAGAATGGACAACAAGTGATCAGGAATTAAAAATTACCATATAGCGCAAATGATCTTTAGCCAAGGCACTTGGTGTGAGATCATGAGTTTTGAGTTGAGCAGATTCCATCCTCTGCATCATTGCTTTAAGCTCAGATACGGTGTGAACACCAACACTACACTCAGCAAAAATAAAATCCCTCAGTTAATATGTTTCTGATTCCCAGATGAACTCTTCTTCAAATACAAAAAGAAGAAATTAATTAACAACACAAAAGGTAAAAAGACCTCCAGAGTGTAGAACAAGAGATCATTTAGGAAATCATAAAGAAAATGGCTCAGAAATGAGAGTAAATATACTGATTTTACACCTCTTAATCATTGATAAAGAATGGGAACTATTTACCTGTACAGCACAACAGCCTCTTTATCAGACCTACACCTGTAGTTGAACTCAGTAATATTCATATGCCCCACCTGCCATTACAATTGAATTTCAGGAAAGACAGTTACAAGAATAGATATTTAATGGTGACAAATTTTATTGAACAATACCAATTTATAAAGTGATAAGCATACCAATTGACAAAATTTCTTGAAGCTTCCAGGTGTTTCTGGCATGACAGTGGCAAGCAAAGCCTCTTGTTGTCTACCAACATTAGCAAGTTCAGTTACAACCCTGAGTTTATCAAAGTTCATGTTCGCCCCGCTGGTGACTGCTACGATATTCTCTCCCTTAAGGCCATAATACTTGCAATATGCTTCAGCACCAGCAAGTGCCAGAGCACCAGCAAGTGCAAGAGCACCAGCTGGTTCTAGAATGCTTCTTTTCTCTTCAAACATGTTCTGCAACATAAGCACCACAATCATGAATCCTCAACACCCACAGACTCCACATGAGAGAGAGAGAGAGAGAGGTTCCAACAACAATGAAAAAATCAATCAAATGAGATAACATGACATAATACTTAAACAAAAGAAAGAGGAGCTGGAAATAAGCCATGAAAACAAAAGAAAGAGGTTCCAACAACAATGAAAAAATCAACCAAATAAGATAACATGGCATAATACTTAAACAAAAGAAAGAGGAGCTGGAAATAAGCCATGAAAACAAAAGAAAGAGGTACCAACAACAATGAAAAAATCAACCAAATAAGATATCATGACATAATACTTAAATGGACAAGATTGCATCTAACCCTATTCTTCTCTAAAAGAAATAACCCCATTTATGGTAATAAGTCAAAAAGAACAAATCAAAAGAAAACAACAATACATTCAAGTCTTACCTTAATGGAGGCACAAATAGCATCACGGTCAACAAGGACAATACCATCTACCAATTCTTTACATATGCTAAACGTTTCTTGTCCAACCTGCTTAACAGCAACACCATCTGCAAATCCTCCAACCTGATCTAACATCACTCTCTCGCCATGATGCAGTGATAATGCCATTGCATTTGCATCTGAGGGCTCCACACCAATAATCTTGACCTGTATTAACAATACCAGAGTAAGTGATTTGAAATACCCTAGTAAAAACAAGTAAGCCAAATGTAAAATCATAGAATAATGGATAAAGAAGAAACAATATATTTTGCTGCACAAACGCATTATTACCCACTTGAAGCATGAATAAGGGTTATTGCCAGCAAGCATGAGAGAATATCCATGGCTAGTTAGTACTTGTGGAAACGTAAGGTAAGAGTTTATAAAAGGATCCATTGAAGATCATAAAAAGTTAAAATTCTTGTAAGATGAGATCATCTGACATCTGACTACTGCTCTTTCAAGCACCAAAGGAATTTTAAAGATTAAATTAAAAGAAGAAAGGGAGACATAAAACAAAAGCGAACAAGAAAACATTTTGTATTTCAACAATTTGCTTGTCTTCCCTTC